ATTTTTTAAAATAAAATAATATAATTATACATATAATAAACATACAAAATATATTTAAATATTGAATTTACAGGAACACTTTAATTCCATTATAGACGGAAATGGAGGAATTTTTTTTTCGATATTGATAACTTTAAAATATTATATCACATTATATGTAAGATTATTTAAGAAATAAATAACAGTTAATTAAATATGGTCTCACAGTTAAATAGAATGCAATTGAACTCTCTGCAATTATTTCATAATATTAATAATTATAAAATAAATTGTATAAAGTAATTGATGTATACTTATTAAATAGACTTATTCGTTAAAAACACCACAATGTTATATTCGTTGTATTTTATTTATCGTTCTTATATAATTACTATATGATAGCTGTACAAATGCATAAGTTTCGCTGTTTGCTATGTATATAGCAATAATAAATAATAATTCATACAGCACCGATTTGCAAAAAGTTTTCAGAAAAGTTTCAAAATCATTTCAACTTTTTATATATAATGAACAATAGTACGCGACACGTTACTAGATGGACACAGAGTTTTTATTTTTCATAAGTAAAAATCCATACAAAATAAAAGATGTAATATGATAAGACTTTTCATCTACATTCTAATAAGATGATTTTTTGAAGGCCTCAAAATTGAACTCTAAGATCTCCAAGGTGAAAATTAATATATTTTGAAAGTACAGTTTTATTTAGAATTCATTCAGGAATCTAAATATTCTTTCAAAATTATTTTAATAAATTTTCAGCAACATTCTGACACATTTTAGAAAAAGTTTAGCAACTTCAATAATTTTTTAGTAATATTTAAGAAAAATTGCAATTTTTATTGCAATAATCTTTCAACAGCTTTTCTACAAAATTTCAAGCACAACAATCGCATTTTGCTATTCTAGAACTGTCTCAAAAATGTTGCAAATATATTTCGCAACTATTATAAAATGTTTCACTTTTCAGTTGAAATATTTCTGAGATATTTCTGAAAAATTTTGGTGCTGTATGGGAACGTACTAATTATTTAATAAAAAGGTATCGTCATAAGTCTATATTTCTCGTGTATGAATTATTCCTTAATATTTTTTATATTATGTGCAAAGTTTTTAAAAACATCTACATCATGTCGTACATTATATCGTGATAACTAAGCAATAAAAAGTAGATGTAAGATAAATGTGCTTATTTAGCGAACTTTTTCAAATCGGAATTACATCAGAATTGAAATATTTATTTTTCTGCATTAACAATCTTGCTCTATAAACTCTTTTAATACAACTAACAAGATTCTTCGGAATGTTAAAATACATTAAAAGGCAGCTGCATGTGAAATTCCAATTCATAGACTAGAAACACTGGTGACAGTCATCATTAAATGTTTTAATAGTGCTACACTCAGACCTCAATATACCTCGAAATAAAAATATTGAATTATATATATAAAATTGCAGATGCATAATAAATTAGCGGAGCTATAGGTATTATAGGAGCTATAGGATATATATTGTAATTACGATGTCATATTGTCTTTTGAATTCTATGTTGAATCTGATCACTTGAAAGTAATAATAATTAATGATAAAATAATAATTAGTGTTAAAATTAGTGATGATGATAGGAACAGAAATAATAATGGCACTAACAGTCAGTTTATCAATAGTAGTAGTAGTAGGTTTATCAATAATAGGTATATAGTATTAATAAAAGTAGAAGAGACCAATAGCGACAGTAGAATAGCAATATTAATGGTAACAATAACATTTATCTAAATTAATTTCTTTAATTTTTTTTAGAAATCCACACTGAAGAAGTAATAATCTTTACAATATATTATTCTTGTTAAAATTGCTCTAACTTTAGAATAGATCTTTATGAATTTGACAAATAAATTTTTTTTATTTAAAAACAGGATAGAAAATACAAGGAACAAAAGCAATTTGGAAAAATAAAAGATTAGCTCCGCTTGAGAAAAACTGAAAAAGAAACGTTTTGAGATTTATGAGATCCTAGTATGTATGTAACGGTTGCATTAACAAGCGTGAACTTTTATAGTCACCAAATGACATAATTCGTGAAGGTTTGAAGAGAGAATTCAATTATGCTATTTCACATAATAGATTAAACATTTTGTTTAATCAAAAATTCTGAGAAATTGTGAAGCTGCAGATTGTTTAGTTATTTATATCGCATATCCGATTTTAATAAATTGAATTAGTAATAATCCACATAACTCATAAACTATTATAGGCCTATACAAATTCCTATTCTTTTTAGCAGAAAATGCAATCTGATGATAGTTATAATTCTGTCAATTGTACAAATTTTTTATAATTACAAATTCATCGCTTTATTCTATACCAAATGTATTTGTCTCTTCTACAGCCAACAGCAGCTTTTCGTATAAAATCTCGGGCGTAGGATAAGGCGGAAGATCCAAGCGATTAAAACACGTGTGAGCTCTGAAATAACAATGATAATAAAATAGAGATATTACGAATTTAGGAATTTAAAGGAAAAAAAATAGAAAATATAGGATACATTAAAATGCAAAATTATTATTAACAGATTAAAAAAAAGAACAAGATTACCTTGGCAAACTATTTGGTCTCCCCCACTTTTCTATGCAGAATTTCCTTGGTCCTGTAGATCCACGCAAAGCCGCAAATCCTTCATATGGAATACTTGAAGTGCCAGTAACGAATTGCAGTAATCTTAGACGTTGTTCGTTAGTAAATCGACTTATGCTGCTCCAAAACCACTCTACTACCGGATGCGCATCGTGATAACCGCTCCTGTATTCGGTGTGCGTTCGCCAATCGTTTAGGTCAATTTCAGCTGCACCCGCGATAACTAGCTCTAACTCGCGAGCATCGAAAACAGATACTAAACGCGGATCCACCACTTCATAAAAGCCGCGTACCAATGATTCCGTTTGTTCCGCGACGCCACGCTCAAGACGCCAACGTACTACTCTCTCGAGATACTCCTTTTTATTTTTTTCAGTAACCGCAATATTTCTTCCACCTGGCTTCAACTCGCGTTCAGCGACTCGTCCCAAGAGTTCCTCTGTTACTGAAAAGGTTAATTCTAATGGTTCGATACTTATATCCTTTTCTTTGATCCACATTAAACTCTGATGAAATTCCTGATCTAAACTCTCCAAGTCGCTTAAACTCGCTGGTATTCTTAAAAGCGCCTTATAAAATGGTCTCGTGAAAAACGCATCGAGTAGATATTGGTGAACCAATGCTAAGCCCAGAACTCTGCCCGAAAATCTAAACCAATCGTGATAATTATCTACGAAAGCTGACATTGGCGAAATTTGTACCGTATAAGTGTCATTAGCTGAATATTCGAACAATCCATAATAAGGATTGAATAGTTCGCGTGATAAATGAAAGAAAAATTCTCGGGACGGCCCACCGTAATCCAATCCTTCTTCATGATCAAAGATGACCACTAGTTTACCTTTCTGCAGATCCTTCTTTGACGCAGCCATTATACGCGTAAAGGCATCTTCGAGTAAATGTTCTCTCCTGATGTGTAATCTAAACAGATAAAAGATTTTTCCATAAATTTCTTGAAATGTATTTATGAATATATATCGTACTAAATACGCAGATACATCCCAGGTCAAAAATTTAGAAATATTAGTGATTTTTTTCGCAATATACAATAAAAAATTCAATATCTATCGCGAAAAATTATTGTATCAATTTTTTTCAAAAAATATTTTAAAGTTTAAAAAGCTTACTTTAAAATACTTTCATATTAAATTTTGTCCGATTATGTTTCATCAAATTGCAGCGCTTTAAAATAAGACAAAAATGTTATAAATATTGATTTTCAATTTTACGTAATTTCGGAACAAAATGCAGAAAAAAAATTCAAACGTAAATTTAAGGTCCTATTTTTGTACTTTAAAAGCGTGTTCGAAAATTTCTCTACAATTTTTATTCACTAAGATATTTAACTTCTCACAAAATGCGAAAAGATCACAAGTGTTTCCAAACTTTTGATCGGGGGAAAGGATGTGCATATGTGCTGAGACGTACTTTAATTTACTCGGTCCTTGTCCATAACCTTTGCTTTCTAGCTTTCGATAAAAAGTTCGAAGTTTAGCTTCGAAATCTCTTCTGTATAGTGCGGGAGCTCTGGCAGAAGCCCTTGTCAATCCAGGTGATGCATGCGGGCTACCAAGCGGAGATCTACCCATACTACCAGGTACATAAGA